TCGTAGTCTCAGGTCATCCAAACAGTCTCTTCTGGTTGTCCCAAGGTCTATTCAAAAGTCTTATGGTGACAGAGCTTTCGCGGTGGCTGCCCCACGGTTGTGGAATGCTCTGCCCATTCATATGAGACAGCCTCGTTTTTCTTTGGCTGCTTTTAAGAAATGTCTGAAGATTTACCTTTTTAAATAAGCTTTCTTTTCAAATATTTTGTGATTTTATGTGATTGTTTGTCTTAATTATTTTGTCTTTAATCAATTGTAGTCATTATCTTTTTAACTCAGTATTGTAAAGCGCCATAGAGCAGTCGGATATGGCGCTATATAAGTCCATTATTTATTTATTATTATTATATAGAATTACGCATGCTCTTAACGAGGGGTAAACTGGGTTCGAATGTTCTGGCAGAGTATGGATATTTTAACTTCAAAAGAGAGCTCAGCCGATTGACTTGAAGATTTTCTTGCAAGTCCACTGCTTGTCTATCACGTCGTCTATTAAATTTTTTTTCCTAATTATTGGTGTTATGTTTTAAATTTCTTCTCGAAAATGAAACGCGACATAACTGATAAACAACCTCCTTTCGATCTTTGTTAATGAACTTCAAATTTGCCAGAGGTGGACAGTTTTTTTATCTTCGAGAACAAAATTAGTATTACGCTAAGTATTAATTTGACGTTTACCCCTCAGTCCTTAAACATCAAAGGGTGATGACCATCTCATTTGAATTACAATTACACCCCTGGATCACACATTTAGGACCCATTTAGGTCAGGAGCGTAAAGAAAATTATTACCAACTAAAGGAACTCATGCATGATTGTTAACAATTTCTCCTTGTCATCGCCTTAGGAAAAGTATAGAGAACAGTTTAGATAATATGCATGCTGATGTTAGGGCGTAAAATGTTAATTTTTAGGACAGGACGATTGCACTGAGGTTTAAACATGGCATTACACTCCTTTGCCCTTATACGGTAATTTCTGACGTCATTTTGCTCATACTCATTTTTCTTACCTTTTTTCCTTCTCAGCATGGTAGACATGAAGATCTTTGCAGCTGTGGCTGATGGTAGCGTTGTTATTTTCAAACGTAATAGAGGTAACGTGAGCGATTGAATTGTGAATTCCATGTTTTGGATCTATCCAATCTTTACCCCTTTGAACCCCCATTTCTTATTTCTCCTCACACTACAACCCCTAAATCAAACATTAAGGTCACGGGAAAAGAAGAAATTATCACCAACTGAAGAAGCTCTGGATTATTAAACAAATTCACCTTGTTAGCGCCTTAGGAAATGTGTAGAGAACGTTGAGCTTCGTGATTTTCATTTGCCTTTTGTAGCGATTCTTCCAATGGAAGAATTGGTAAGGCATTTTTAGTTTCCTTTTTGCATTCTATCTGTATTTAGCGGGCACGTGGAACTTCAGTGAACCAAAGGCCGTCGGTCTTGGTAAAGTTCCCGTCATGGCGATGACGGTTGTAAAAGAAAAGCTTTGGTGTTCCTGTGGCAACAAGCTGTTCATTTTAGATTGCAATGAAGAGATTATCAAGGTACTTGTTTATGACGAGAAGATACGTTCCTTAAAAATTACACCCAGCTAAGCTTCACCTGGCATCGTTGCTCGCATTAGGTCATGAATAGTTTACTGCTACACAGTGAGACAATGAGTTGAAACAGGTAGAGATATAACAAGTTTTTTGGAGAGGAGGTGAAAAAAAAAAAAACCTGACGACACACGTGTTTTAAAGGGAGTGGGGATGGCGCGGTGGTGAGAACGCTGGCCTCCCACCGCTGTGGCTTGGGTTCGATTCCCGGACTTGGCGCCATATGTGGATTGAGTTTGTTGTTGGTTCTCGTCCATGCTACGAAGTTTTTTCTCCGTGTCCTCCTGTTTTCCTCCCTCTTCAAAAACTAACCTTTCAAATTCCAATTCAACTTGGAAACGGTGGACAAGAAAAACTACCTTGTGTAATGTCTACCGCTAATTTCCATTCCCAATCCCATTAGGGAAGCTGTAACTTCGTTCCTTTCAATTATTTTATATAGCACGTGATCGAAGTCGATGAAAATCCTAAGACGAGTATCAAGCATCTTGTTGGTTATGGTGTGGGTGTCTGGGTGTCTGTCTGGAAGCAGCCGTCAATCAAGCTGTTCCATAGTGAGACACTGAAGCACGTTCAGGATTTCAGCATCGCCTCTCCCGTCACCAACATGCAGAGGGGTTAGTTTAAATATAGACTGAGACAAAAAATGAAACCTGAAATTACAGAGAAATCTTGTAAATCTTTAGTCAACCTTGAGAGCTGGGCGACTGCACATATCTATCCGTGGTGTAGTACCACAAGTGTCATCCGTAAAATTTAAAGGGAAAATAGCTCAGAAACGATCATAGAAGAGTGAATGAGAATGATGAGTGTTTTCCTAACAAGTCTCTCCGCCCCTCTTTTATATCCAAGGATACATATTTCTGCTCTTTTATTCCCAGATATCGACTCTCAGCTGGAAAAGACAAAACTAGACCAAGTGTATGCTACAGCCCTTGCTGCCGATGAGGGTTTACTGTGGGTCGGGACAAGTGTTGGCGTCACTCTTGTGTTTCCTTTGCCGCGGCTAGAGGGAATACCGCTCGTGTCTGGTAGGAAACTGCTCATAACCTTCTCTTATTCTCTGTGGCCAAAAGCTGTGGAGCATTGATCTTGATCCATCCGTTTATCATTCCTTAGGTAAAGCTTGTGTTGCCTTTCACTCGTACGGTAGCAGTGTGCGATGTTTTTACCCGCTGAAGAACAACCCAAACCTCGGAACGGGACAGAATCTCGATGCAAACAAACTTGACTCGACTTTGTTTCGTGAGAATGAAGTCAGAGATGCCTGTGTTCAAACGGACGCAGGAATCTCCGGGGTTTGGTCCTACGCGTCACGCGGTCCGGCCTCAGCCAATCAAAGTGAAGGTAAGAGTCAATCCTCTTTTCACTGCGTTGGTAACTCTTCAGATTGAAATAATGGAGTGAAAACTCAAAAATCTTAAAAAATGAAACAAAATGAGTTTAAGCCAACGGTTGACAACTATCTATGTTCTCGCGACCCTAAGCGATGAAGAGGTCAGTTAGCGAGAAAGAAGGGCTTGATATTGAATTTTTAAAAGGAATTTCGCCTGTGTTCTGTTCTAGCGTCTCCTAAAAAGGAAAGTGGCAGAGCCAAGGGTCAAACTACGGAACGAGAAGATGAAGATGAGGAAGACCTTTCTGACGAAGATGTCCGTAGCGATGACGAGTTTAATTTTGTGGAAGATAAACAACAAACTCTGAGTGGTGTACGGATTAGATCAAGTGTTGGGACTGCATCTTCATTCGGTTCATTCAAAATCAAATTCGAAGGGACTGAGGGGGCTTCTAACAGCCTCGCCAGGAGCTCGGTACAATCCGATGATGTTGTTGGCAAAACAGAATTCCGAGTGGACGACTTCGCCCGAATGTTGTCCGATTTCAAAGGCTTTGGAAGTAAACCGGCGACAACTGTTCCGGAACCGCCCAAAATTCCACTCGATCTTCTTAGCGGAAAGGCTGATTGCGAAGGTGGAACACTATCTGAAGGCCAAGAAAGTGCGAAAGCGCCTGCAAGTGCTGATGAAACAGTCGGAAGTGGTTCTGAGCTCGGGCAAACAGAAAGCGGAAGTGGTAGCGAAAATGCACATTCTAGGGAAAAGGGTATTTCTTTTGGTGAACACGTCAAACTGAACGGTGCTCACGCGACTGCGGAAGCTCAAGATGGTAACTTTGAAACCCAAAACGAGTCTGCGGGAGAATCTTCTGAATCTAAAAGCGATGAACCCACCGATCTTTCACCGGAAGTTGAAACAAAGGCAGGAAACAATAGTGATACCGGAAACCTCGAGGTGGGTTCCTTGGCAGCTCCGACCTACTTGGAAGTTCTTAAAGATTCAGATTCGAGGGCTGTAAAGTCATCTGAAGCAGCTAAGACACCGGAAGTGATTTACGACAGTCCTCGGCAAGACGATAGCTACAATGTTTTCGATAGAAGTCAGTTGCAATATTACACGACCGGAAGTACGGCTAAAGTGGAGAACTTGAAACCCAGACTGCCGTTCCCTGTTCTATTTGTAAGCGCCGGGGAAGGTTATGCGGACTTGCGGCGAAAGCGACGGGATGAAAACGACAAAGAGCCGAGAGTCATGATTTGGCAAATAACCTAAGAGAGAATCTTTTAGAAACTCCAGTTATCGGGAAGTCTTCGTTGCACTTCGGATTGTTCTCGGCAAGAGCGCGAATACAAAGCAAAATCGATTTAAAAGGTAAAGTACAATTAAAGAATTTGAAGCAGATATTTCAAGTCAGACAAGTTTATGATTTGTTTGTCGCGAACATCATCTTTTATACTACTTACTTTTCACTTGAAATACTAGTACAAATCCATGTAAAATGTTATTTTATGAATATAAAAACAGGGATGAATAGTATAGATTTCTTGTTGATAGCACATTATTTTTTATATCGTTATAAAAGTTAATATAAATTAGGTTGTGTTTGTTTTTGTTTTTGTTTTTACGGCTTCTTTTTATTAAGTATCGTGGTAGTTTCGTCGGACGTAAGACTGTTTGCAGACGAAGAATCGAAAAAATTAAAACAAAAAAATGATGGCAGTAAAGCCATTTACAACCAAATGAAGCTTCACAAGAAACCAATGAGGCAATACTCGATCCTACTGAAACTGGGACATGTCTGGCCTGTATAGGTCACCCGGTTTGTGTGCAATATTACCCATCAAACAGTCTTGCTATATAAAAACCTGTCGAGGAAAAAAGGCTATGAAAGTTGTCAGTAATCTGCTAACATTTCAATCTATCTTATATTTCCTTACTGTAAAGCGTTGATTGGGTGTTTGGGGTGTGGAGGGTGGGGAATTGTAATAACTGTGAACAGACAAATTAAAGGCTTCGGAATATGTCTTTAAATACTGATTTAGTTGTGAATTGATAACATATATATGCTACTATTTATTTAGAGATGAATAGTAAATTCTTTTGGCAGATGATTGTTCTACAATGAGGTCTCCAAGTCTCATTTTTATTTCACTTCAAGTTCAATGTTCTATTTTACATCCCAAAGCATAGAAATTACCGAGATCAGCCTGAATAAAGTTGCCTCATGACTGCTCCTTTTAGCTCGCGGCTGATTACTGACGAACGCGTGTGGCGCGTCGATCTCTCGAGTCGCGCGTGGATCCTCGAAGAACTGCGGGCGGCTTGCCTTGGCCAGCTCCTGTTGTCAAAGAAAATAATTAAGAGGCGGCGTCTGTTTTCTTAGTTGTCTCTACCGAAGAAATCAATCTGTCTCGTTTTTCGTGCCCTTTGATGCTCCAGACAGCTTTAACTGGATTAACTCGTCTGCGAGATTGTTTGAATAAGATTTATCTCCTGCCGGAGTTGGAACAGCTCACACATGCGTCAAAACACTTGTCATGTGCTTGCTAGCCGAGGAATCCAGTGTTAAAGTACGGCGTCTGCGACGGGCGTTGTGGAGAATATTTCAGACGATTCAAGGACATAACGGTTTAATAACGGACACGACTTAACGTTTTACGACTGACATGCGTCGGTGTCTGCACAAAGAGAGAATTACGTGAAACTATTCACCGGGTTCACAAGGAGGTTCAAGGGCTCTTTTATTTCTATCAGCTTCGGAACAATCTCGACTTAATACGGGGGACGAAAGCCTGGATCCACGCCAGCAATGACGGCCACAAATCTGTACAGAGGACATATAAAAGCGTGCCGCTCAATCTTCTGAATATCAAATGTGGAACTTTGTATTGATAGGGTCACAAAGTCAAGTGGCGTGGTGGCGTGTTAGATTCTTCCGGACAAATCTCCCGTCAGTTTCTAATGTTTAGGCAATCTGTATGCCCAAAATAAAAGAAATTAAACCTGGCATTTGACCCGGATATATATAGAGGGTGCCCTTGTCGGCGCAAATTGCGAAACGCCAGCTGAGAATACCCTGGAGCGCTAGAGATAAAAATAACACCACTTGACGCTTTTCAAACAACCCTGTTTCGGTAGCTTTCGTGGAGCTTTAGTATAGTACGTCGTGTAAGGAACGCAAAGTATGTGCATATATATTTCATTGACCACATCCCTGTACTATCTCTCAGAGCTTCCCTTCGTTCAGGTTTTCGTTTTGCCAGTAGTCTGGAAACAAAACTAAACAAGTTGATGGACTGTTACGAATCTTACAGTGGCGTTAAAACGAAGGGATAAACAACACAGCATGTGAAGGCGTTGATTAAAATAGCTTTTGGATTCAATCTGCCCAAAATCTTATTAATTGATAAAGCGTGGATGAAATCCATATCCAGTTTAGACAAACAACCCGAATTATTGAAATATTTGGTCAGCAATGCCCTTGGCGACATGTCAGCACTTGAATAAGACCCAAAAAACCTTGAACTGAGTCATTTGTTCTGCGGGACGACTAGACGAGCTCATTTATGAGACAGGCTTTAATACGCCGTAAAACACTCATTTCTAGCCACTACAACGTCTGTCCTACGAATTAAACTGTAACAAATGTACGAAATCTTATCCTTCGCGGGACCTTGCGGGAGGAATTCTCTCGTGGGAGTAAGTTCGTGTATGTCGCGTAGAATCGCGCGAGTTCCGATTCCCCATCTGGAGCGTTCCCCAGAGCGAAAAAACAACCCATTTTATCGAACGTTTTTTTTTCTTTTTTCGGAAAGAGAGGTATGAAAAAGTTTTCCAACCTTTGTGTTAAAACCGTTGGAGACCGGCAGCTTTGTTGCTTACTTCATTTTTGCGGTCAGATCAATGAGCTTAGGCATAAGAAAACGTGATCTTCTCTAGAAGTTTCTCACGTAAAATTTTACCGCGACAAAACAGTTCGCGTTGTTTGTGGGGCGCCAAACATTGTCTGAGCAACATGGATATGACGTGTACAGAAAGTAAAATCCTTGCCTGTCAAAGACGACCTCCTCACTAACACGATCCAAACTGAAAAAAAAAAAAAAAAAGGGAATAATGAAGTAAAGAAAACAAAGAATTACTGAGGGGATTTTTTCTGGTGGGGAGGGGCAAACTGAGGTTAGTTAGGCTCACATTCTACCAGTCAATGCATTGCGTTTTGAAGGGACTCTTTCCTCTTAACGTTAATTGGCAGCTTTTATTTTACAGTTATTAAGGGTGGAGACAACCACTATGCAAACAAACTTCTTTTACCAACGAAAAGTAATAAAGTTAATGTTGTACTCAAACTCTATATTTCGGGAGCAAGTTTCAATGTGATTCACCGTTGCAGCGCAACGTAATCACGGGTAACATCTTCCCCGCAATCGGTTAGCAGCGTTGCCGTAGTATTTGCGAAGATTAGATCTTGATTTTATTTTGTATTGTGAGGCAGGCAGTGACTTACCTGTGTTCTACTTTGGATCAACATTTGTTTCGAGCGTTAACCCGCCATCTTTCGCTCAGACAATGGGCTAACGCTCGAAACAAATGTTATGAACAGGCTAATTTACGTCATCGACTCGGTTGATCAAACCAAATTATCTTCTAAACTCTCCCACCGATGTAGCGCCACAGTGTCTGAAGAGTCATACCCCTTTGGGTCATATCATGTGTGTTGTGTTCTTGTGCGTGACATTTATTTCTCACATATAGCCTCCCTTAGCCCTTTAACTCCCATGAGTGACCAAGACAGAATTTCTCCTTACAATATCAATACAGTATCAAGCAGACAAGTAATGAGAATAAAGAAAAATATCAATCAGGGGATTGTCAGTAGATCTATTACAAAATTCTCCAAACTTGCATTATAAGAATTGTAAAGCACATAATAAGGAGAATTACTAACATGATCTTGGGAGTGAAACGGTTAGCCTTTCACTGGTATAGGAGTGAACCAGCGAAGTGTCAGGATTTATGAGCCCGAGGAACTGCTGTACGCGGGAGGAGGGGGGTGGGTNACCTGCGATTAACTAAGCATTCCATCCGGAAGGGAGGCAGCAATACACTTATTCCCTTTATGCCACGGAAACTGTAACGAGCTTAGACACACTTCTTCCTTGGAAAATCTACAGCTTCTACGTCACGCATCGTCGGCCAATGTTTATATCGGGGGGTGGGTGGTCTACAAACCTTTGCGATAAATACCACATTAATTCTCTGTCCGTAGGTAGAAATGGATGGTAAAAACATTTGCCTCGGGGAACAAGGCCTTTACTGTTCAACTGATACTGAAGTTTAATATTAGCTGCAATTGGGTCATCTAAATTTAAAATAATTATAATTTCAAAAGGTTTACATTTTGTGGTCGAAGGGGAGGTTATCTGCACGGAACAAAGAGTAACACCTATTTAATAGACAAGAAAAAAATGAATAAAAAGCAATTATAGGGTATCTTTTCGATTTCGTGCGCGAACTTTCCAAATATATTGCAGCTCATCCAGACTCAAGATAACGATAATGTATCGCACAGACATTTCTGATTCAACTCGAATCGTGTATGACGAATGTTAATTTCGACGCTCTGATATAAGCACCTGTCAGCTGCTGTTCGCTTTTAATGTAGTTACTTCAACCGAAGTTTGAAGTGCTGACACAGAAATTAATCCATAATTTCCTCATGCGTAGCTTCCAACTCTTTTCTCTTTGAAGTGATCGTGAATAGATAGATGCGTGCTATGAATTAAGCGAGAAAATAGAAAAAAGTACAAATTTGTTACTGATCATGAATATTCCAACCTGATCTCACTTTTTCGATGAAATAGACGGACGATGAGTCAGAGATAGCTAATACGAATATAGTTTACCAAGACATCGAAATAAATTTACTTTTTTCGAAGTAGCACTCCAGATGTCGGTTCCAGATTTGATGCTTTTTCCCACGCTATCCTTGTCAATTGGCGTTAACGTTAACGCGAAATAACGTCCGCGTTCACGCTTGTTTTACACTCAACCGCTGTTTCCGTTAAAATCATGCATGCAAGGCAAATGTAAAACGAATTTTGAAGTCTTTTTTTTTTCGTCTTAATACTCTGCCCGCCGGACATTACATTTCTATGAACAAAAAAAAAAAAAAATATGTAAGTAATTAATCAAACTTTCACTGATCCATGACCACACGGCGGAAAATTGCTTTTATGTTATCTCAATTTTATCGCACTCCCGTAAGCATATTCGTCTCAATTGCCTAATTATTCTTGTCTGGAATATTTAGATTGTCAAAATTTGGCTCTGTGGTATTAAAGTAATGCCGCTATGCATCTGCTGTAGGATTGTAAAAAGATGATCAAGATTTTCGAGAATTTGATAAAAAAAAATTAGCTACAGTCGAACTCTAAGTAACAAAAAATATTTTTTTCATCAAACCTACTAAGTATAAAAATTGAATGTAATAACATCAAGTATAGAATTTTATACTTGATGAAGAAATAACAAGTTTCGTGTTTTTCAAAACGTACCTTAATCGAACGTAGATTTCGTGTTCCTTTGGATGACACAACACTCCCTGATTTTAAAATATTCACCACTCTTTCTATTCGTATCATTTTGATTTATTATTTACGTGTAAAACACCCTGAGGATATAACACTTTGTTAAAGTCGTACAACTCCAAATGGTCATTAAAACCGGTTTAGCATACTTTCGCGAGAATTAGAAGGAAATTTGAAAGTTCATGTACTCGACTTTATGTTTTTAAAGGCGGTTTACGGCTCAAGTTGTTTAGTCGTTCCCATTTTCGGATGAATATTTACCCTCTCGGCATTTGTGTCTAAAAACAGACCCACTTGAATTATATAAGCTCTCAACCTTAGTTATTTTTAGCACGTCAGATTTTCTTGAAAATATACTCTTTTTTGAAAGTGTTTGAAATGGCTACTTGACGTGCGAGTGTCTGTGATCTCCAAAGTGATGGTTTGAGTCAGAGAAAACTTCACATCCGCTCTCAGCACTTCCAATCGAGCGCAGACTGTATTCAATAGCCATTCTTCTCAAATTACACCCAGCCCCGTTGTTTTGAGACTTGAAATATCGGTTTCCTGTTCAATAACACAACTTAAAGATTGTTATGTCTGCGCAGAGTCGCCAAGAACAAAAAAACACGGCATGCGAATATCAAACAATTGCTGGTAGACCATTAGCCTGGAGCGTCACACCTATTATTTTGACTGAGATGTTTAAATGAAACAAAGTGCATTTTTATTTATGCCAAGTCTAGATTTTTTTCTCTTCATTTTTTTCTCTTCCTTTTTCCTTTTAAGAATTTAATCACACAGAACAAGGGTTCCCACTCGTTTTAAAGGCAATTTTCGAGTTTTTTTTATGCTTGTCTTAGGATTTAAACGTAAAATTCTGTTACCAGCTTTGATCTCGTTGGTTCATGAGGTCGAAACGGCGGTTGGTGGGTAGATAATAGAAACGCTGATGTAAATAACAAAGGGCATCATTAAAGAAGATATAGAATTGTTTAGCCTTCTTCTGAAAGATGATTCTATACCATGTATTTAGAGGCGCCCTAAGAAATCTACCATTAAAATTCGATTTACATCTTGAATTAAAATTACTACTAACAAAATCTCGCTCATAGCGTCAAAATAAAGTTTGTATTCTCTTTCATGTGATTTCTACTTGTCTCTATATTTTTCTGGTGAGTTTTCTCTTTTGTTTTCGCGAGAGAGAGACTGACAGAGATAACACAAAACAATACAATGCACAGTGAATTTCACATCGGCCCCTAAAATCATGTTTTGATTTCAATAGAAACTTCTTGATTTTTCAGTCTGCCGCGCACTTCTTGTCTGATGTTTTTTTTAAAAAAAAAAAATCTTCACTTTACTCAAATTAAGACTAGCTTTCCTTGATCGCAACATACAGAATATTTTTTGGGTCAACTTCTATACTTTGTGTTACATGCGTGTATGTTTTTTTAATTCAATGTTCATCTTCAGAACTTTCGGCGCTGTGAAGCGCGCCATTCGTGTTGTTAACACTCGATTTGTGGCTAAAACCACCCGCACTTGTACCATTTAGCATGTGGCGACTTCTAATTACCGACTCCGAATCTTGTCTGGGATTGTTCACAGTGTAGATAAATTGAGAACCGGCGTTATGTAATCTTTGATTGTTGATCCAGGAGTGGAATCCTTTAATTTCGTTTTCGAGCTCTCGACAATAGCTGTCTTTTTCTTCTAGTTTCTTTGATAGGTCTCGAACATCTTGTTGCAAAACATTAATGGTTTCTTTGGAGTTCATTGAGAGAATGTCGTCCTTTTCAGCTTTATATTTCTTGACCTCGAGTTGTAGTTTACTGTTTTTCTCGTTCAAGCTTTCCAATTCGAGGCGCTGGCTTGTTTGAATCATTCTAAGTTCTTTTTGAACACTTTTCAGTTCCTGAAGAGCTTCCTCCATCTTTCTAGCATGTTCTTTCTGCAATGACCCTAATTCTGTACGAAGCTTGTCTCGCTCTTCAGTAAGGTTCGTTAATTTCTCTCCTGCGTGGTTAGCAAATAAATCTTTGATATCCTTGACTAATAATCTACTTAATTCCCTGGGAGAAGAGGTAAGTCTATCATTCTTGTTCAAGTTCATGAGTATTTGTTGTAAGCGCTCCTCCCATAAACTGCATTCACTCCCGTTTGACTCTTCGCTTTCTCGGTTAGGACTGAACGAATTTTCATACCCGCACCATCTTTCATTCTGAGCCACAACTTCTAGCATTTCCTTTGCGGTTTTCTCCAGAGATCTCGGATCTTTGGCTGATGGAGTCGCGAGAATTTCGCTGACGGTATGCGAAACTGTTCCGGGGCTTCTCAACGGTTCGACTTTAGGAATCGTTTTTCGTTTGTCAGGGTGGCTATGAAAACTGTGAGGATGCCGCGAAGTGTACGAATCGCTCGCCAAGTACGGAATGGTGTGTGGCGCGAACAGGCGAGCGGGAGAACCCGACATGATGGACAACGAATGTGTCCCGCTCGCATTGGAATTTTCCGCACTTTTTCCACGACCGTGCAGAGGGGACCACGGCCTAAACGCGGACCTTCTGCCGACGATATCCCCATTAGCATTACTGCTGGTGCTGTTCCCGTTCTCGATTGTGTCGCTGTCATCGTTTTGCTCTTCACGCGACTCTCGCGAATGATCCACGCGCGGTTTTTTGGGAGAACTCGCGTCTCTTTCGCGCTCGTTCACGTCTGAATCCTGGTCGTTCGAGGGCGATGCACGTTTCCAACGATGTCCGTCCGAAAACTTATTCATAAGCATCTCCCAGAGTTTTTGAACATGTATCGTGGGTTGTTCATTGCACAACATTAAATACAAGCGCCATTTCGCGTCATCAAACCCCCAGTGACAAGTGTGTATTTCGCCTGAGGAATGATTATGAATGACAAACCTTCGAGGAGAAAAAACTCCATCGCATTGTGAACATGTAATACACTTGGCGTAGGGATCCGTGTACTTTTCAATTTCTAGAGTACCCACGCACCCGCCAAAACACTCGTGGTACACTTCTAAACTGTCCACTGGGAAGATACGGCTTGGCCGTTTTGGTACCTCGCTTGCGGTCAAAACCCCGATCAAGCGAAATGAATCAGTCTTGGAAATAAAACTTGCCGAAGTAGCCGACCAAGACAAGACCCCAGCCAGCTTAAACAGTTCCAGGTGATGCGGCGTGCAGCGCGGACAAAAGATCTGAAGTCGATCTCGATTTGCGTTTATCTCTTTGCTGTCAAAATCCTTGAGCACTTTATTCACGAGTTCGGTGTAACAGACGCGTTTTTCGCCTCCTGAGCTGAAGCAAGCTAAAGGAATACCGTCGATAATTGTTTCCTTGAAGTTGAATCCGTCGTGTCCCTTCGGCGGTGGCATTCTTACTGTGACCGTCTTGCTTATCAACCTAGAATGTTCAGTAGACGCAACATAAGAGCTATGTTTAGCAATGCTGTCTGGCCATGATTTCTTAGAGGTGAAACCTTTGGGCCCAGTGATGGAGTCTGTCGAGCAGTCGCGATACTTCTGTAGGATTTCGTCAATAAGCGGGTTGTCTGATCGACAGAATTTGCCCCGCTCCATTCGCGAAGCTTAATTTCACCCGAATACGTTACAAGAGCGTGTCGTGTCAAAGTCTGCGTCTAAAAGCCTTTCACTGCAGCAGACGATCGACGGGTCGTTTATGCTCTGCACATGCTCTGTGCACGGCTTCCTGCTTGGACCGTTATTGTTCGCTGTCGATTTGACATCTGAACATGTGATATTCAGGGTTAAAATTACTCAAAAACGTCTGCCGGTGACAAAAATTCGCGAAATCTGCGTCCGAAACGCTGGCCTTCTTATCCACTCGCGACCCAAAACCACTTGACGCAAACTTGACGATATACTTGTTAAAAAGAAGATGGTGAAAATTAAAGGATCTCGTGGCTTCGCTCTGGTACTGTCTTTCAGAGAGATCTAAAACTCGAAATGTGTGAATAATTCACTACTTTGCCTGATAATAGCGACAGAACAGGTAGTCTTCGAAAACACTTGGTAGTCTTTTGTGAAAGTTGTCTACTGCTGCCAACCACATCATTGTGGAGGTTGAAAGAGCCAATTGCGTGCGGCTAACTAAGACAAACAAATTCATACATGTAAAAATGTTGTGTGTTGTGCGAAGTCCCCCGTCAACGTCTAGACAGGGTTATTGTATTGTCTAGACGTGTTTTTGATGTCGTTGCAGCTTTTGTTTCGGCGCTCGAGTCTTTTAGCCCGTGTTAATAAGTGGGGCGGGATATAGTCGCAATTGACGCCGCGTGCAACGCGGTGAGGCACGCATTTATTCTTTGGCGCATGCAATCGCTTTTCTGAAACAAACCACCCGAATTGTTTACGGCTAAGAGCAAGTCAATAGAATTTGAACAAAAGCAATGACGGGAAATGAACAAAAACAAACCAACAGCTGTCTTTGGTGCTTTTAATAATTCATGTCGAGAGACGACTGGGCAAGTCGGATGTTTTCAAAGGAATCATTTAATTCGGTAAAAACCAAATTCATCTTATTTTAAGTTATTTTGTCTTGGGGGAATAAAGCTATTTGTAAATGTTTACGAATCTCTGGCATCTGGGCGTTATTGAAAGCTTCTCTTTAACGAATAAGAGAAGCCCTTTATTTATTTTAATTTTCCGATTTCTCTCTCCGGCTCTGTTCTTCTCTTTTTTAATTAAAAGGATGAGACTCAATGGCGTAAAAACAGTCAATCCGATGCCCCGCTTTGCCGCTAAACCATAGATCATTTAGTTAAATTTAAGTTGCTAAAACTTAGTTTACATTTTCACGAAGACGATCCGTGCAAATTTCATGTTTTCTTTACATTCACCTGTCAAAATTTTCTCTAAAATCCATCGAAGCTTGAATTATGCCATAACAATACTAATTATGTTTGTGATCTCTTCCAGACATCAGTAATTTAAATAAAACAGTGCCGTCTGTCCAGTCATTTTCACTGAAAGAGCAAACAATGAAAAGGATTTCCACACGACATTAGCAAAGCCCCTCACCCGCTTTGTTGTTACATTTTGTCTGACCACACCGTTGCCATTTATTTATGAGCTTAAAATTGAATAGACCTTTGTTAAAATTAAAAAAAAAAAGCTAAAACGTGGTGTGATGATAAAAGCAGTCGACCTGTAAAATATTCCTTTGTTTTTTTGTTGTTTTTTTTTTGTGAATTTCTGGTGTTTTTTTTTTTTTTTTTTTTTTTTTTTTTTCTTTTTTGCAATGCAGGAAAGTCTTCTTCGCTTGTGAACTTTCAAAATCCTGTTTTGTAACACGTTGGGAGCAAGACTACTATAACAAATGAAATGGATCGCTTTGCTATGTGTATATGTATGTGTGTATATATATCCATTTCATCTATTTGGAAACTGAACATTTATTTCGTCAGTGTTCGATTACAGTGGGCGCAGTTGGTGAACTGGAAGTTCGGAGAGTAGGGAATACGCCAAAAGAAATTAAGTAAAAATGAACGTTTCCGTGTACTACCGACTTGTTTTGAAACCTTCCATTCCAGTTTCGTGGAATGAAAGTATAAATGAAGAGTTTTCTCGTGTTTTCATTTTTCAAACCAACACGCGTTGTCATAACATGAACTGTTGGCGAGGAACTTGCTTGAAATGGGATTAGCTAGTAAAAACAAAAACTAATATTGAACACGGTGAATACTTCAACAGTCCAACTGCAAACGAATGGGCTTGGATCTGAGCTTTTAAATTTGTGATTTAAAGTTAATTCGCCACCCCTCAATTCTCCGCAAAATAGTTTTTTAGCACATGCTAGCCTTTCAAACAAATTAGATTTCTTATGCACTTATTTCTCTCCAAAGTAGCGTTGAATGCTCTAAAAACAACTTTTGAATTAGACCCAGATTGCGAGTTGTTTAGCATATCTACTATTTTGTGTCGCCTAAAATCCACTTCACAAATGAGATCTGCTTCAGATCCCGGTTAATGATAAGGAAACATTAATAAGGCCCGCCGTTCAATGATCAGATATTCCGACGCCTGAGCCTCTCAAACGTGGCTTGAAGTCACGACATCAAGAACGCCGCAGATATCGAAGAGAAACTGGTGTAAGTTGAAGTGAACCATCGTGATAGTTCGCATGCGAAGAGTAGAGAGCCGATAGATTTTCAGCTGTAGTTTTGTAAGGCGCTAAAAAAATGCTATAATTGGGCGAATTTTATATCTTTTAACGCGGTAAATTACAGAAGAGATTTCAGTTTTAAAGGTGTGTATTTCGATGGCATATGCTAAAGTAAATTACTAGAAAACGTCGCTTATCAAAAATTGTCTCCTTTATCAATAAATTTTAAATATTATAGCCATAGGGTTTGTTCTCATCATTATTATGATTTCTCTCCTACCCGTACAATTTTTATTCGATTGCTCAGCAGTACGCTTCGCGCGTCATTTGGCTAACAGCATTTTGGAGGTGGTTACGAACGAACCACTTTTAGCTAACTTGCAGCTTTTGCTGGAATTATTTTATTGTATTCGCGCAGCTAGGTTAGCCGGGCTTTAGTGATTGGGGGCATTTCGGAACTGAATTCGGCAATCGATGGCTAAGCTTCAAACTAAGAAGGACCGTTTAATTTCACATTTCTAAAAGCTTTTACATTTTGTCAACAATACGTTGTCCTTTTTCTTATAACAGAGAACCAGCACAGAACGGGTCATCAAGGATCCAATATTCCTGACGTGCAGTCGGTGAAATAGACTTAGTGTCAATCAGTCGGTGAATTTTGAAGCCTGCGTGTACTTCCCGCGGATACTAATCTGACGCTGATTAATCTCGCAGAAATGTTAAATCGTGTTTTTTCTTCTTTTCCTCTGTTCATGTTCAAATTTCCCGTGAGGTGATAACTAGGGAAGACCTGTCGAGACTTGACAACCAGTTAGACCTTTTACATTAAAATTAATGAGATTTAAAAATATTAATTTCCGACCTTGAAAAACCACATGAAATGTCTGGGATCTCGCCTACTTTTCGCCACTATTTGCAAAACTCGTGCCTTGATCAAGTGGAAGCTTCAACATTCACCCCCTCCACCCCCGCTGAGCATTTGAACTTTTTAAGATTGTTTCGTTCAAGGGCCCAAATGCCCTTCCCAAGTGCCCGATTTGACGGTCAATGTTTTTCGACAAAATCAGGGACCTTGACTATCTATTCATTGACCAAGCTTTAAAGCCTAGACCTTGACGAGATTTTCTCCGAGGCCACTCGCTCGCAAACGTGAACTCTTCCTTAAAGACCTCCATCTTAAAAGATAAGACACGTGTATTCCGCTGGCAAGACTTGACACTAAGCAAGGTCCACGGTTCACATTGCCCACCCACAGGGTACAGACGACAGTCAAATGCCCGTGGGTTACCCCGTAAGATGTCGAAGCTTCGAATTCATCTGCGCATTACTCTTTGGGCTGAAAAACATCGTTAACGCAATGAGGGGTGGGCAGGGGAGGCGAAAAACACTCAAAGACAGAAGGGATAAAGACGAGAAGGGCCATTTATGGCCAATTAGTTCCCAGCCTTTTCGAGTTGTGTGCCCTAAGATTGACGGTTGATGCTAAAATTTTGAGTAGTTTTAATTTCCATTTCTGTTGTTTAAAATCCTCGCACGTGTTAAGTTTTGTTTCAACTGAAGAAATATGAAATCGAAATCTGAGCTTCATTTTCCCATTAACGGTAAGGAAAATTAGGCAGCTCAGTTATTCTGAAATGTTGAAACATAATGTTACTGATATAATTTGGTAAAAGAAGAAGTTTGTTCCATACAGAAACCTCATAATTTTATCTCCGCTTTTAAAAAGTATGTGAAACAATTTGCATTTTACCGCATTTTTGGATTCCAAATATTAATCTAACCTTTGGAAATTGTCATCAAAATTAACGTGGCAAGCACTCGCATATGGACGCTGCATTTTCGGAAACAACTCAGCGTTGTAAGCAGGCCGCGCATGGAAAACCACAGAGCACGGTTAAAAAACTTCTGTTGCTCGGGTTATTTAGAAACAATACAAAAAGGTATTCATCATAGTCAGGAGCCCATTACTTACTAGGTAATGGGATCCTGTCATAGTGGAGAATTCCTTCTGTAGCCCCAGATTGTTCAAAGAGATCGCCAAGAGATAGAAAAAAGGAAAGTGAGACTTACATGTATCGTGGGAAAGCGAGAACCTTGCAGCTCGATCGCGTGGTTCGTTGAATTTTTTGCAAATTTGTAAAATACTTTCGACCTTTCAGGGTACTCAGTTTACATCTCAAAAGGCGGTCAGTATCATTATTCTAAAAACTTCCACTGAGGCTGTAATATCAAGGCTACTGTAAGCTATATTTTTCGTTTAGGCATGAGAAATTTTTTGAGCTGACATGATCTGGCGTGGCATTCCCGGCGTGAGCGTAGGAAATAATAATAATAATGTTCTATAGAGCGTCATTTTCTGAAATTTTGGCATGTTCACTCCAGTATTATAGAATGGGAAAATTATATATTGATGACATATAATTGACACCATGTTGCCAATGTTATGTTCTCGAATCTTCAAGTTGTTATGCACACGCGCTTTCTTCCCGCGTCTTCGCGCAGAAATGCTACGAGGACTGGACTGGAGACTAGTTAGAAAATACAACATGGTGGATTATGACGAACATTTAGAGGAATCGATACTGACGTGTTCATGGACTTAAAATGATGTCTACCCACGTTATTGTCATAATTGAATGCAAATCAAAGGGTTTGAGTGGCTGCAAAACACACCTCGATCTAGCAATAGCAATAAATCATTGGAACACAACTTGGCGAAGAGGTCCTAACATGTAAACAACATGCTAAAGGTCAGATAACTTCAAAACTGGTTTTTAAGAATATTTCATTTTCATTATAATAATTTGGCTCTCGTTTTCCTGATTTAGTGACTGGCTGGCCCATGAGGCGGTTCAACCATGGGTTAATCTACATTATTATTCTAATCTTAAAGTGCCTCAGTGCGGGAAATTCAAATTTAAATTTAGACTCTACACATTAATTGGAGCGCTATGTTAAGATCAGTGAGTCTATATTTAACTTGAGTCTCAAACCAGCAGGTCTGAATGTTGTTTTATCACCAAAAAATCAAATAAAGCACCAAATTACCTGGACACTCTCGCGGCAAACAGTTTTGTGAAGGTTATTTCTCAATATTATGAGAAAGTTGATTTTAGTGCAGGTGATTAACGAATGAATGATCTTGTTGTTTTGATATAAATCTATCAGTGGTTCAAAATTTTACCACAAGACATGCATTGTGTTACAAAAACATTGCCTTAACTCAAAACCTCTAACAAAAATCAACTTCACAAACTACTTGGTGTTAATCAGCTGACATTCTTGATTAAAACCCCCCTCTTTAACCCTCAGTTGTGTTAAGCCTCAATTTTCCGGGCCTGGCTTTAGGATTAAACGGCAAGTAAAGGGAAAATGTTTTTTTTTTCTGAAAAATGGGTCATATTAACAGTAACTTAAAGATCTCATATATCTATATATGTTATTCAACGTCCTTGGGAGGTCCATATTGGGAAAAACTGTGCCTAAGGTCTTAGATACCACCCAAGGCTGTAGGCCTCAGGTAATACTCAGATAGAGGGCACAGTTTTTCCCAATACAAACCGACTTAGGATATTGAATAACTTTTTTTATTTTTTCTTAAACTTAATGAAATGCTTGTAAGAAGAATCTGAATAACTTAGCACTGTAACTCACACCAAGATCCTCCATAAAGGGAACAATTTTTGAGCAAGTAGATGGTAGAGAAAGAGAGGCCTCACTGAAACATTTTTATCTGCATTCTGATAAGGGTGATTTAAAAGGCTTCCAAGCAAACATTGAGACATTTTCTTACAATTATCTGTCACAATCTAACACCTATCAATTAGAAAGCGCGTTAGGAAAAAAATAAACCCACTGACACTTTTGAAAAAAACAACAGCACTACTTTTGGCAAGTAAACTCAAGGTTAATGACTGTTACTGTGACTTTTTCTTCTTCATTGATCTTATGGAGAGAAATGTTCTCTTTCAACAATAATCAGTCTACAAAGAATTACCTCTGTTCAGTTTTAAAATCTCAAGGGAAGTCAAGTTATAGTAAATTCAAATGTATGTTTTAAGTTATGAGAGTCTGCTTGTTTGCTTGCTGTAATGGTGTCTGTAAAATCTTTTATCCACTGAAAAATTGAAGTCAAATTACATGCTTTTTCTAGCTAGGCATAAGGGGGATGTAATGCGACTTTTGGTCATTGAATTTCTTTGGTTTCTGTTGTGAGATGTAGGGTAGAAATATCCAAATTCTTGGAACTTGCAAAGAATTAGCAAGAGTTTATTTATAGTAGAACTCAAACCTTCATTCAACATCTTACAATGAACAAATTCCTTTGGAGAATTCTGATATTAAATGAATGGAAGTTACATTGATAAATGTAACTGATAACAGCATATACCTCTCATTTAAACTTTCTTGGTTACTTTTTTAAAAGGATTATTGAATTACAAACTGTTTTGTAGGCAGCATGTCAATCTATTTAAAAACACATTTGGTACCTAATCAATGTTTTTTATTTGAGAGAGAGAAAGAGGAGAGAATTAATAAGTTACTGATCAGCTAAAGATCATGATCGAAATCTCTGCTTACAAATCCTGACCAGCTGGTAAAACACAATATATTTATGAAAGTTTGCAATGAAGCTACTATGCAACTCAACAAGTAACGGATATGATACCGCTTGCTGTGAGTGCAGGATGGGAGAAACTGCCCGCTCTCAGAACCAATCAGATCGCAGGATTTGTAGAATACCACCCGCTCACAAACTGAGAAAAAAATGATGAGACCTTTCTTGTTTTAGCTGGATATCTCTACTTATATTTTACATGTTAGGTGATAAAAGATGTTGCTTGTTGTTTAGAGGGTATGAATTTAATTTTCCTCAGATTAAATCAATGTTTTATATTTACATCCAGGTCTTTGTAATAGAACAAAGTTCTTGGTTGATCACTTATAAGGAGGGAAATGCATGTCCTTGGCTTTCCAAGGGTTATGTGCATCCTTATATGACCTAATTGAAAATGGGTTGCTAATCTGCACTAAACTATCACGGAAAAATCATCTTTTAGGTTTTGAAAAGGGTTGACCATCTAGTTCATGGGTACTTTTCCATGATGTTGTGTGAATTTAATGAAAAACATGATTTAAAACCCAATGGTTTATAGGAGGAGGTTTTTCTCACGATTTAAATTTGGGGCCCACACTGTAACTTAGAGAGGTTACTAGCAGAATTTGTGGAATATTTCATCCGCACTTTACTCTTTGTTTCACCAATGGAATTGGTTAGCTCCCGGTTAGCTCAATGGATAGAGCGCTGGACTGTTGTGCGGGAGGTCGAGGGTTCGAGCCCCAGCCGGACCAACACTCAGAGTCTTAAAATAATTGAGAAGAATTTGCTACCTTTCTATAACATCAAGAAATGGTTAGATATTCTAGTCTTCTCGGATAGGGACGAATAAATGGAGGTCCCGTCTCCTGCAGGGTTGGGGTAGGAGACGTTAATTTCCCACACACGAGATTACTGTGTGATGGATGTCCTCCCCTGGGGTGGGATGGGTGGGAGGGTGGACTAGCACGAATGGTTCCTATGTTCCTTTCTAGTCCTTCCCCACTGCAAAACTTAATGCAGTGAAAATGGACTAAATTAATTACATGAGGCGTAAGTGAACCACCAAAACATCTTGTTGCCATCCAAAAACCAAGCTAGTTGTACAGTTGTTTTCAAGTTTTCCTGACAAATGAAAACCTTCAACCTGGAGGTTCTAAATCCAGACTCTCTTAATGGCATGAATATACATTATCTTTCAGAGTTTTATACTGTATAGAATCCTGGCTGCTGGACATTGCCTTTTAACATCCTATCTAGACACATGTCATTATTTTTAGAAATACACAGGACCATCACCTTCTGTGTGGCTGTGTAAACACTATTGATGTTGCAACCAGTAATTCCAACTGATGTCAACTGTATTCTGCCCGTTTTATTTTGGCTGGTTTTCAGGAAATGTGGACACTATTCTCTAGGCAAACTGGGATCTTGTACAGGAATGCCAAAGGCCCATTTCAAAATGTTCTGAAGAGCTAAAGAATCAGGAAACCTCAGCTGTGCCAAAAAGACAAAGAGACAATGTATTTCAAGTGCTGCAGAAGCAAAAGCTGTCCTGCTTACTATATCAGATCTGTTTGACAAGAGGATCGAATGTACACTGCAACAAATGCCTGCTGGACAATGTGATCAGAGTTGAGTAATCAAGGTGTGAATGTAACATATATTGTCTTGTAGACAGGGTAGGGGAGGGGGGGGAAGGAGGTCAGAGGAGCAGCCAAATTATTGCATCAATTATCCATTTTATATCATAAGCTAAAAAAATGATAACACTCAGGCAAATGGAATTGTGTTTAGTTTGTAGCTCCCTCACTTTGAGAGAAAACTTGAAACAGAAAAAACAACAACAATAACAACAACAACAATGACAACAACAACAGCAAGAGGATAGATTTGGCTACAAGTTCAAGTTATTAACAGGTACATCATAGTTATGATCATTATTATGTGGCACTTACCAGTAAGAGCACTTTATGTTATTACTTAGGTGTCCATGTTTGTCAAGGTTTAATTTAATTGTATTTTTCCCGAGTGTAAGAAAGTGAATTCTTAGTTTGCCCTCAGTTATTCAGTCAAAATACAGGTTGGCCAATTAAAATCATTCTATCCAGAGAGGAAAAAAGAAGCAAAGGAAAGGAAAATTAACTCCATTTTTTGGGGAACTAGTGAAATTTTAGCTTAATTGTAAAGTGGGATCATCTCTTCACCTAGTCTCCCTCGCTGCCGTTTTTAGTCTCGTCACGCAATGCTCCTTGCCTTGTGTGACAACTTCGGAAATGGCTGCAAAGCAGTCCACTCTTCACCGCTTCCAACTTACTTTTCATGCCAATATATTATTGAATCAAATAGCTCGTTTTGAATTCTCACGTCTTTTAAAGTTGTTGTTGTTGTTGTTGTTCTTCTTTTTTTAAAAAAAGAGGCAGCTTCATGCCCTATTAGAATTTGCTTGGAGCATGCCTTGATTATGTCACAAAAAGTCAACAAGTCTTGCCTTAAGAATTTGCAACAGACAATATTAAGCTTTCCTTGTAGAAAACTCAATTACGTCTATTAAATTAATATGTCAAATTCTTGATGTGCTAAAGTGCCTCATGAGAGAGAAAATTACCCTGGCTAATTCTTTCTTTAGCCATCACGTCTGTAAAATTTTTTATTTTTTGCATTTAAAAGAATAGAAAAACGTGGTTCGTTCATGGAATAAATTCACACCTTTAGATTGACTTTCAGCGCTAAATTTTTTCAGTTTGATTCCTTTTTGTTCTACTTAATGCAAAAAATATGTACATATGTATATTTTGATATTTGCGTCACCTGTAATTGCCCATTTCCAAATTACCCTTGGCCTCTTTTTCATAACGAGGCCTGGTGCTCAATCATTCTTGTGAAAATGAGTTAATTTGCATGTGAATGAAAACTTATTATCATATGAAAGGATGAGCACCAGGACTCGTTTTGAAAATGAGGCCAAGGGTAATTGGGAAATGGGCTATTGGTTTGCCGATAGAAACTCATTCAACACTACTGTCGGCGTTGTTAAATTTTCTTTTGATCAAAATGTCTGAATATAAATTGGATATAAATGTGTTACTTTAAACGTTTACGTGAACTATTAAATGTAGTAATTTGTCAAATGTTTCAACTAGTTGTACTTAATTTGTGTCTTTTAGTTGAACAATGTATTATGATGAGATTGCAGTCACGGTGGAATTTTTTGTGATGTCAAAGTGGATTAAAAACTGAAACAGTGATGTACTACTTATGTCAGGTGAGAGAGCTCATTGTCTTTCGGTTATTATGGAGCCTAAGTAGTCACGACGGCAACGCCAAGGAAAACGACGATTTAAAAAAGGAATTTATATTTCGTCTCTAACAGTGCTAACGCTAAATTTCTATATGAGCAGTGTTGAGTTCCAAATAAAAACGTAAATAATTCGTCTTGAAATTCGTGCCGGGATCGTCGTTTTATGAGCACAAAAAATTTGGCTAAGTTCAAAGGATCCCTTTACGAATTTATAAGTTTGCATTGGAACTCAATGCAGAAGGTTCAAAATGTAGAATTTTTCAAAACGTACGTGTTGAGCTATTGTTCTGCTCATTAAATCTTTTCCTTTTCTACATGAACGTTCTCGTTGTGGTCGCCGTCGTGGTTTGCTGTTGTTCCCTTTTGAGTTTTGCCACCATTATATTCCCTTTGAAAAATTACTGCTAGAATTAGTCGTGGGTTATGTCTTTATGGCCAGAGTTTAAGCCAGTGAAATTACGATTTTTCAGTTCGTGAGTGAATCATCCTAATAAGTCAGAGAAGTAGTTTAGTAAAATGGCAGAAAGGTCACAAAACCGCTCGATTTTGCTCTGATAGATCCTTGTAATTTTTAAAACCTTGTTTTAAAACCTTGTTTTAAAAGAGAATATTAACGGTGCGCGGAATACTAACCTAACAATCGATCTTCTGAAAAACTTAACAGCGCGCGATATGCTAACCGAACCATTGATCCAAATTCCAAATGGAATCGTAGGCGAGACACTAGCGTACCAATCAATAATAAGAGAATCTTCAAAGCGCGCAAGATACTAAAGAGATACCTAACAGTGTGCAAGATACAAAAGAGCAACCTAAACAATAATAATATTAATAATAATAATAATCAAACAACAAATATATATGAAATACATATATATATGAAATACATATATATGAACTGCGGTTATGAAACGTATATGCATCAAATTAATTTGATGGCCTGCTCCCAGTTGGCTTGTTAGCTCAATTGGTAGAGCGCTGCACTAGTATCGCAGAGGTCAGTGGTTCGAATCCCGTACAGGCCTGAATTTTTTTCAGGTCTGATTTTCACTATTGCTTAAATAGTGCTTTACTGCGAAGGATCGTGCACATATATAAATAATAATAATAATAATAATAATAATAATAATAATAACAATCCATCAAAAGGGAATCTCAACAAGGACAATCCATCAAAATAGAATATAAACAGTGCGCGACATAAAAATTTCTAGTTTTATCAAAAGGACAACCTAAGAAATGGGCACTATACTAAAATAACAATCGATAAAAGAGAATTCAAACAGTGCACGAGATACTAAACGAAACACCGATTTAAAGTAACGATTTAATAGTAATGCACGACGTTGCGTTACTAGCGCAACAATTCATCAAAAAGGACTAGTTGTCGAGGTCCAAAAAACGCAACAAAAGAGAACGAGGCTATTATCCAGCCATCTTGAACGAACAAGCTTGGTCAATAAAGGATTTGTTATAAGGCAAAAATATTTCGCTTTAAAAAGTATCAAGAGTGACTTGTTTATTTCGA